TACATGGTGGGTCTAGCTCAGACATATATGGCAGGCCCAGCTTAGACATGCATGGCGGGCCCAGGTCGAGCTTGTATGGCGGGCCCAGCTCAAATATGTATAGAGGGGTTGGTGGCAGTATGTGTCAACAAGAATCAAACGTTGAAGAAATAGTTCCTAGCTTATCTAAGAGTGCCAGTATTGCAGGTCATGGTCGTAAATACTCATTTCTCTCAAAGCCTAAGTCACAACAGATGACCCTAAAAGGCATGGTTAAAGGTACAAGAAACATGTTAGGGAGATATGTTGGTAAATGGTTCTACAATTTTAAAGTTAGCAAAAAAGAGTTTTTAAACTTCTTAGCCTATTCCCCAAAAGGTACAGCCTTTTTGTCTAGCAAAGACGTATCAGGGATAATAGCAAAGACGTATCAGGGATAAAGAATGACGCAAACTTTTACGTACGACTATATGATCAGATAGTGGAAGAGGTGAGAGATAAACATGCAGTCCAGTTTATTACAGACAATGTGCGTGCATGTGTTTCTGCGGGCGGTAAGTTGATGGATAAGAGAAAGCATCTAGTATGGACCCCGTGTGCTGCACACAGCATCGATCTTATGTTAGAGGAGATCGGTGAGATCAAAATTGTGAAGGAGACTCTAGAGGAAGCAAGGTTGGTGTCAAGATTTATATACAACCACTCTAAAATTTTATTTCTGTTTAGATAACATTATAAGAAAACAGAGATAATCAGGCCTACCATAACCCGCTTTGCGACCGATTACTTAACTGTGGACTCCATTCGAGAATCTGAAGGTGCATTAAAGAAATTGTTGACCTGTGAAGAGTGGTTAAATGACCGCCTCTCGAAGTCCATTACCGGTATAAAAGTGGACGACATAGTCTCAAATAGGACGTTCTGGTCTCGATGTTCCAATGTCGTAGAGGCCACTGCTCCTTTGGTCACTATGTTAAGAATGTTGGATGCTGACAAGAAAGCTACCATGGGCATCCTTTATGAAGGTCTCGAGAGGGCGAAATCAGCTATTGAGGAGAAGTGTAGTTTTACTAACAAAGTGATCGAAATTATAGAAAGGAGGTAGAACACTAAATTTGGACGTCCAATTCATTATGCTGGTAAATATATATTTATATCATTAGAATGTTTCATTTTAAATCATTTTTTTATGAAATTGTAAATGACATTTTTCTATCTATATATTTTCTAGGTTACTACTTCAACCCAAAATTTTTCTATTTGACACCTGAACATCCTTACAAGATTATGGAATGGGTCAGATACATTAATGTAAAGTTGGAGAGAAGCCATCGAAACCAAGTAGCAGCAATACAAGAGGTATTATTTAATGTTTAGGTAAGAACTTCATTGAGTTATTACATTTGTGAGGAATAATGCGCTAAAACGAAATATATTTGTTTTAGTTTGCTATGTATAGGGATGCTATAGGATCCTTCAGAACTAGACTTGCCAAGAATTCTCGAACTAAGATGGATCCAGGTTATCCCCTAGCTAATATTTTGTTAATTCATATATTTAATCTTATGAATTATTCTTGCCCTTACAATGCTTTTTGCATTTTTATCCAGCTGAATGGTGGGAGATATATGGTACTTATGTACCTCACCTAAAGAGGATATCAATCAATGTGCTCTCCCAGACATGTTCTGCTACTGGCTATGAGCGCAACTGGAGTACGTTCTAATGGGTGCACACTACTAGGAGGAATCGACTCATTTCGGAGAAGCTTCATAAACTTGTCTACGTTCATTATAATTTAAACCTTCGAGAGCGACAAATAAGAATGAAGCTCGAAGACTATGGGCCGATAGACTTAGACACAATATTTGTCACAGACACAGCAGACCAATGGGTAGTAGAAGAGGAGGAGCCAGTGTTGCACAAGAGAGCGCTCCTTGAGGCTAGCGGTGAGGAAGATCTTGAAGAAGGTGATGAGTAGCATGAAAGAGGAAGCAGTCAGCCAATGTATCCACAATTCATCGGAGATGCCGATGATATTGCACCTAATGAGGGAGAGTGGGAAGGGGGTCTAAGGGAAAATGAGAGAGATGATGGTTATGAGGCCACCCTATCCCAGCCATATTATTCACATATCGAGTCCCAATAGCAATAGGGTAGGGATGAGCACGACAGTATAGGTGAGCATGAAGGATGGACAAGCTTCGGGGATTTTGGATTGGGAACACAACAGAACACTAACACTCAGGGATTTGGGTATAATCAGACTCCTGTTAATATCGATGATTCGTTTTTAGATCGAATCAATGAATTGTTAAACGAATTCAATCAATAGCACCAGCGTGACCAAGAAGAAGAACGACGTCGTCTTTCATTTTATTTTTAGATCATATGTTATTAATTGTATGCTTTATTGTAGTCCATGTAGGTTGATATACATATTCCATAATAATTCTATGTTTATCATTTTGTGTGATGTAAATTAAATGGTAAATAGTAGTTCATGCAGGGAAAGAACATATCAATATTCGCATATTCATGCAAAGAAATGATAATTCTTAATGGGGTTCCCTCATTTCCTATTGAATTCTTAAAAAAATATATTTATAATGAATTTTAATAATTTTTACGGATTTTTTGAAGCTTTAATCTGACCGATTCAGCAGATTCCCGATCCGGATCGCCGATTCACCGATCCGGATCGGTTTTTGAGATGCCCGATCCGGGTCACCGATCCGCTTTTTAAACCATTGGTCTAATGCCTTTTAGAACATAATATATACAACCTTATGACTTAAAACAACCTTTTCGCTAGAGAAACTCTTAGGCCGTAGAGCTTATTTTATGCCTAACCTTTGGCCCTAAAACCCTAGGTCATTAAACCTTACCTGCAACCATGGCAGCCATGAAACCCCAAACTAATCCTTAGGAAGAACATGCCAAAGGAAAAACTCTAACTTAGAAAGCCCTATGAAAAAAATGCCCTAAGCAATCAAAACCCTAAGAAGAACATGCCCCAAGTAATTTCTCATATTCAAGCATATCTCTAGGATCGAGAATGACGATGATTCAGTGGCTTGTGTAATCCAAGCCACCAATGCTGGGTGTCGAGCTTGGGGACCAGTTTTCAAGTATGTAGATCTTTCTTTCCTTAAATTATCAATTTATTTCTTTCTCTTGTTTTCAACTTTTCTTGGTTTCTTTATGGTTTTTATGTGATTTGAAGCCAACTCTGTTGATGGTGTATGAAGAGAATTTTTATTGCTACAAATCTATCATCCCATTCACTATAATTTGACCAATTCCACCTTTTCTATGGAGTTTTAATTGATTTAGTTTAAAACATGGGTAAGAGAGGATTTCATGTGAGATCTTCCGAGATTTGGCTATTAAAATGTCTATAAAGTGAAAATGTATTGTCAACACTAACGATAAATATATTGATGTAGACATCCAATTTTGAAATTGACAACTTTTTTTTAAGTTCTTGAACCCTAGGGGCTAAAACAGCTAAGTGAACCTTAAGGACAAAAGCAACCTAACAAACCCTGAAGACCGCAACAGCCTAGTAGACCCTAGTCAACTTTTTGGACTTAAAACCCAAACTTAAAGCTTACCTAATATCCCAAATACCCATGCTAGATAGAGCCTAATAAACATAGGAAACCAATCCGAACCTCGATCTAACACCCTATCCAAAAGTTCTATACCTATAGGCCCCTTAAATGCTATTCAAATTGGGTTAAATTTGATTCTAAATTAGAGAGGAGATCAAGAGCTTTCCACAATTCAAGTCTAACGAAAATCAACGTTATGGTTTGAAAGTTGTGATCCAAATAAAAATGTTTACCATAAATTCTATAATGGTCCCTGCAGAAATTTCAGAATGCCCAAGAATTTTTTGAAATCTGTTGTGGTGGGTTTTGACTTTATGATAGGCATGTTTTTCAATCAAATTTTCTTAGGATATGTACAAATATTTTTAGGATAAATACAATCATTTTTTAAAATTGTTTTTTGAAGTATTCTTAACCAACTCCAATTTAAACCCCCTTAGCAAATATCAAATCATTCCATAAAATACTTGAAAATAAATCTGAAAATTCCAAAAAATGAGAAGAAAAAAAAAACCCTAATTTCATCAAACTCTAGTTGATGAAAACCCTAGACTCTATTCCCAAGCCTAAGCCTTCAACCCCAGAAATCTAGGAGCATATATCCCCACCTAGATCTAGGTCATCAAACCCTAGAAAAGCTTATATCAAAATTAAACCTTTCTTAGTCAAGTTTCAGCCAATTTTTAGTGTGAAAAGAGAAAAATAACGTAAATAACTCGCGGTCCTGATATGAGTCCTAATTTTGGGCTTTTTTAGTGTCCCGGGCCTACTCAAGCAAGTTCTCTGTCTCCCTCTCTCTTTAATTTTAGTTATTTTCATATATGTTTGCATTAGTTTAGAAGTATTTTTGGCGTAAAAAATCAATCGCCATTGTAAGCAATATGAGGAGGAAATCGATCTATAAAGAATGATTGCTCTTCTTTAGATTGTAATTCAACCGGCCCTACAATTTCTAATGTTTTTCAATATTTTAACTAATTTGTAGCTCATATCAGATAGGGTCTCTCCAATATAAACTCTCGTGGATTTGGTTGTAAACAATTGAATCAAAGTACTTAATAACATATGTTTGCTTCTTTGAAAATACTTATCCCGTGAGTCTAAAGTAATCCCAAAAATTCAAATGACAAAATTTTCTTTTGCCCAAAAAAACATAGGTTTGATATGCTCTTATAGTAGTATGCTACACATTCTCAATGTTAAATGATCACAAAAAGAATGAAATTTTGATTGGACTCTCCATATTTATTATGTTATTTATTGTGCCAGCAGTAGCCCTAGTAGCAAAAGTAATCTAGCCCAAACCAGATATCTCCATTCCTATACATGGTTTCAAATTTGACCATGTAAAATGTGAAAATACTCCACCTTGCAGATTGGAAAGGAGTAAGAAAGAGAGTCCACTTCAAAAGCACTATCCATTTCGAATGTAAAATACAAGTAGGATTCTACTACTCCAACAAGCATTAAGAAGTGGGGTTAGAGGTAGGTTTTCGCCCCGCTTTATGTAGAGAGAGAGAGAGAGAGAGGAGTACTTGGGCACACATGTTACAGATGCCTGAATAAAAGCTCGCCTGAGAGATAGAGTGAGAGAGACAGACAGAGGAGAGAGAGAGAGTAGTTGGGTACACAACATCTTACAAATACCTGATAAAAAGGTAGGGAAGATGAAGGAAGGCACATCGTTTCCTAGAAGAATTACAGCTAACCACCAATAACCTTAAAATAAAACTTAACCATTACTTTGCTCACACTGGTTCGGACTCTAGTGAAACTTGAAGAAGGGGGTTAACAATATGTTAGAGAGAGAGAAAGAGAGAGAGAGAGAGAGATCCTAGTTGGTAGACAATGAAATGAAAGATTGATTGATGGGATAACTTGGAGAAGAGAGAGGGAGAACCTGGTTGCTGGACAATGAAAACTGATTGAAGATGGAATGATAACTTAGAGAGAGAGAGAGAGAGCCTAGGTGCTACACAATTATGATTGATTGAAGATAGAATGATAATTTAGAGAGAGAGAGAGAGAGAAAGAGAGAGGAGAGAGATCCTAGTTGCTAGACAATGAAGATTGATTGAAAATGGAGTGCTAACTTACAGAGACAGAGAGAGAGGAGAGATCCTAGTTGCTAGAAAATGAAGATTGATTGAAAATAGCGTGATAACTTACAGAGAGAGAGAGAGAGACAGAGAGAGATAGATCCTGGTTGGTGGACAATGAAGAATGATTGAAGATAGAATGGAATGTCTGAGAGAGACTAATTGGTAGACAAAGAAGATTGATTGAAGATAGAGTGATAACTTAGAGAGAGAGAGAGAGAGAGAGGGAGAGAGACTAGTTGGTGGAGAATGAAGGAGAAGAGTTTCCAACAGGGTATTTCTCTGCATTCTTGCCGATCTTCATGAGCGCTGCTTGGGCCAAGTCGAGGTCACAAATGTCGGCCAAGCGGACCAGGTAAAGGAGCACATCAGAGAGCTCCTCTCCGAGGTGTTCCTTATCCGAAGACGACCAATTCGGAAGCCCCCTCGCCACTTCCCCTCGCCATTGGAATATCTCTGAGAGCTCACCAACCTCACCCACCTAAGGAACAACCCCACAAACTCTTAGTTAGTCCCATGACACCACTAGAACCTCTGTCTCATCACGAGAGAGAGAGAGAGAGAGCACACTTTTTTAACAAAAAGAGAGAGAGCATATTAGCTAACAGAAAGAGAGACAGAGAGATTAAACTCCTAAGGCTAGATCATGTGTGATATAATTGAATCACTAGCAAGCAGCAAAATCTAAGAGACTAATAGAAAGAATATATAAAATGAAATAGAATGCTTTTATTTCCTCTCTTTTTTTTCTTTTCTTTTTTTTGTGACGATATTCAGAACTTTTTATGAATGATGAAAGAGAATTACAGCAAGGAATTTACAAAACAAAACTTTTGTTTTCCATTTTAAACATGGTATTATTGCAGAGCTTTGAATAGGAGTTCTAAAGAATAATGAGAAGACCATATTGTATGATTTGGCTGAAAGAATCAGGTGGAGAGAGAGAGAGAGAGAGAGAGAGAGAGAGAGAGAGTAGTACGAGGACGTAGAGGTACGGTCGTAGGTCGTAGTAGACGTCGACTACCTCTCCTCTCGTCTCGTCGTACTAACTCGTCGACGACGTCCGTCGTTCG